CAAACAAATGAAAAATCATAAAGTTTGCACATCACAGCGGCAGATAAAAAAGACCTTCTGCACAACAAGCTGAAGGAAAAACCCTACAGAGATAAGATGTTACCAAATAGTTACTTTTAGAAACTGTAGAAAAAAGTTCACGCTTTTTACTTGAGTTTTGAAAACAAACGAAAATTTCAATCACCAAAACTAACAAGAAAAATTCCCCGAATTTGTTGTCTGCAATCATTTCTGTTTTTTGAAATTCATAAAATTTGCGAAGAAAAAAGGAATAAATGTACTGAGTTGATGGAAGTTTTGACTAGCAGAGCGCACTAATAATTAGTTTCACACTTCCTAAGAAACGAGCTAACTTTGAAGACCACTAAAGAAATTACTACGGCATATTTTGTCTTATGGAACACAATATTTTCAGAACTGAACTGTAGTTGTGACAGAGCACTGCTCTTTAGCGTACTAATTGATAGCAGACATGACGGAGTTGAGAAAATAAATCATCACTAACAATACCATAACATTACTGATCAATCCAACCATACCAATATCAGCAACACTTACGCTTAAAATTCAAAGAGCTAATTAGTAAGCATAAAATAAGGAGTCTTAGTAATTAACAAAAATGTAACCTTGTGATCCCGATCTTCATCTGAGGTGACTCAAAATGAATCTGAACTAAAGTTGACACGAGTCCAGAGGTAAATTGACAGGGATAACTAGAACTTACAACACCTGAATCTAGTATTGGGAAAAGACATTTCGCACCACTTCAGTTTCCAGTCCAGTATGCAAAATATATCCCGCAGTCACCACTCGCTTTATATAAAATTGGATTTTCCACATCACATTATGATGGTTTCGTGATGTACTTTTGCGATATGTGCGATCAGTTCTGCAGAAAAGTATACTCGGTTACAGTTCTTTGGTCGTTTCACTTGTTTGAGATAGTACTTCAGCTTATTTCTCTATGGAAATTTTTCCATTCAAAAAAAGTGCGATACAGCGATTTACTTTCAACTTTATCTTTAGTAACTTTTATCGTTCCAGCTTATTTGCGTGAAAACAAAGCTTCATTGTTTTATTGCAAAGGCTGTAATAAAAGTTGGATTTTATTGTTGAATGATTCCTAAAGAAAAGGTTGGATTTGCTAAGAATAAAGCTTGCTGAATGTTTGATGCTTCTAACTCACCAAATTAGCCAGTTCATGTATCGAAATAAGTGGAAAAAAAATCTGTGCAGTTCTTTTGACATAAAGTTTAAATTTTGTTAAATTTTTGTAAGTTGGCTGAGAACTGGTTTGAAATGAAGCAATGAAAATAAATTGTCAAATTATCTGATCAACCAATAGTCATTCATTTTCAAGTGATTTTTAACCAGATCTTTAGGATTTAAGTACATTATTATTTAAGTTTTGAAACCATATGTAATACGCTGGCTAATACGTTGACAGCGTGTTAGAAACAGTTTGGAAGAGGTGTATTGCTAGGTTCATGAAAGTTCGAGAAGAATCGGGGCATGTCAATTTTAACTCCTTTTCTCGAAATGAGTACTGAAATTCGAGCACGATTCTGTATCAAATATGATGGTATAAAGTAAGGTGAGTTGTTCTTTTTTGGATTGCTCTTAGTGCAAAACTTGAATGACCACATTGGATCGTGTGAAAAAATTTTCTCATCATTTATTTTGCACAGTTTTTTGCGTTTCGGCTGTGATAATTGTTAATATTTCGAAATTATTTCTTACATAACTGTAGATACACTATTTAATGCTATGGATCTCCCCGATAGTTTTCTTCAGTACTCTCCTTACTGCTTCATTGAGTTATTTTCAAAAGTTCAGGTTCAGGTTTATTTTCCTTTTGATTTTTTAATCATTTTTGGGTAATGGTAAGTACCTAGTTAATAACTGACTAAACTATGGATCCAAAAAATTCGGTGAGTTTCTCTATTTGATTTCGTAGTATTAAATAATGTTTTTTCCTAGATACAGAAATCATTTTGTTCTAATATGCTTCATGTACTTTAATTAACTACTTTAACTCAGAGACTGTGCGCTAGATATGATGACATTAATATTTTTTCAAAAGCTCTTGCAAGATTTGGATATCATGAATTAGTATTTCATAAACTTAAGACGTCATTAATCATTAGTAAAAGAAAACTTTCGATCTGAATTTAGAATTTCTGTCATTCTAAGCTATAGTTTATCATGCTCTTTCTATTTCTGAATTGGATAAATCTGCCAATGTTTCTTATAGCGCAGTATAAACTCAAACGTAAAAATATGACATTTTTTGCCGACGTCACTGCTACAGTAATGAATTGAATTAAACATATTTATAAATTTTATTATTGCAAGATGACGTGCTCGCACGTAAAGAAAATCATTGGCTTGCGAAAACATTTGAATAATAGTAACTTTTCGAAGCGTTTGTTTATCTTTTTAAACAGCGAATAAGATATTGAAACTTAAAATTAAATAATATATTGGTCGAATTGGATAATGATGACAATTTTTTAAAGTATAATTGAATAAATATGTCCTTGTTTTCAGTTTACCACTTTCATAATCTTTGGCTTGTCGTGTGAAGTAGTTTAAGGCTTAGGGAAAACTCATTATTGAATTTTAGTAATCCTGTATGAATTTTCCAGAAGTTTCTCCTTTTGCATTTTCAAGTCATGTGAGTTCTGTTCTCTTCTCTGAATGATTTTGGATGTGCATTGACTGCGGGATCATAGGTGATACTTCATGACAAAAATACAATTTATCTTGACTGAAATTTATTGCTTGAACTTTTAAAAGTGAACTCTCTCTATTCTACCGTGCGGTTTGAAAAATTTTGACCTGTTTTCTGAAGCTTGGGATTTATGAAATTCAACAACCATTATTTTTAAAAGCTCATTATCTTATACTCACTGAAGCTATTACTAATAGCATGTCATCGCAGCCATTATATGCATTGGGCAATTATTTATAAGTGCTTCAGGAGAGCATAGAAAAGACTTTTTAGTTTTTCAGAACTGTATTGTTGGATTGATTTTTGTGTGGTTGACTTATGGACTGCTGCTACAGTGGGATACGAAATTTTTACCGGATAATTACTCTCCTATTTTGAGCTGATGATCTGAAAAATTTGTGCTTTAAAATCTACTTATAATATAAACTGCCGATAGTATGAACTTGATTACAAGGCTGTTGTGGAAAGTAAACAAGGAGAGCAGTTGTAGATTGACGAACTCGTAATTGTTAATGTACCATTACCAAGTTTTTTTCAAAGTAATCTTTAATAAAAAAATGAAACATTTAAGTTGCTTTAGAACGAATTGGTTTTCTGATCAGGTGAATATAATGACGAGAGTGTGAATCACCGCTACAATTGAAAGAGATAAATCATCCGAAAGTATTGCTCAGGATATGCCCCGTGTCGACTCGGAGAAAAATTACGTTTCTTATAGTTTTGATTAGATTACATCCAATATAACATGGGTACTGATACTTTTTCTGTTTTGTATCCCTCATCTTTGACTCAGTTTACATCACGGATGCTAGATTCGCGATTGTCTTTAGCATATTACTATTGCAATTTGGTGGCAGTTTTCGTGACGTTCTTGAAGTTTGTGATTTGATGCATCGCTTCTATGTAAAATGATTAATGATTTAGAGCTTGATGTAAGCAGAGCTCTGAAAATAATAAGATTATCAGATGAACTAATGAGTTTTCGATATTTCTATTGGTAGAAATATTCTAAAATGGCACGAACATGCAGATTATTTAAGCCGAACCCTCTGAATGTTAAAGTGCTTCTGATTAAAAAACAACGCATTGCACAATTTTGGGCCACACGTTTATATATATAAGAAAGGTAGCAGATGTCTTGGGAGCACAAGTAATTTATGAAGCCAAGTTTAGAAACTAATGCATTGTTTTTTAATCAAATTGTATTTTTGCGTCCTGACTGGAAAACTAGGACCCATCAGTGTATGAGTGTCTTTGCACAATATTTTTGATGCACTTCATTTCATAATTGCTGGAATTTCCTGAACGTCCTTGTGTTAAGTTTTGCTTCCCTTATGTCTTTATTTTCATGTCTGTTGTCAGCTTTATTTCTATTTGTGTAAAGCTGGCTATTCGCATTCGGTTTTTGTCCAAAGTTTTAGATGACCTCAAAAATGTATGTTAAAGATTGGAAGTCAATGACTTATCGATTCTGCTTTTTTTTAATGTTATCATAACTGATGGAATGTCTTATTTGCTACTCTAAATCTCTTGTGTATGGCGGCCCATCAGTATCGCCGGAGAGATATTTTTATTCATTAATTTATATGTGCGTAAATGACTGTAAAACCTATATAAATTTCTTCATCCTCAACAGTTATTTAGTTTTGAGCGAAACTTAAAAAATTTAATTATAGATTTAGAGTATGACAGCAAGAAACTGATGCGTTTTGAAAGTTCAGAAAAACATTATCAAGAAATTGGCAACCTTAATAAAAATAGCTTTAAGCCAGTAAAAGAAGTTCTAAAATCGTCTTCCATGTAAGAGTTATTATTCCAGAGAAAAGTATAGGACTGTTGAACATGTGACATTGATTATTGAAATATTTAGATGCAGTATGTAGCAGCATATTGGTATTCCGAAATGATACTTTCAATTTATAGTATGTATTTTTCTGTTGTCGATTTCGCGCTCTAGTTTTATTGAATGTGATTCACTGTGGTTTCCGTGACAGTTTGGCTCATGTTTTACTTTTTGCGCTCGTAATTCGATTATCATCGAAATCATGGATTTTGAATATATACTTTATTGCTTTTACAGATGCATGCGCGACAGCGAGAGGGAGAAATGGATGGCAGTTGCGTAGATGCTAAACAGTCTTCAGTTAATAATAGGTTCTTTTATTTTCAGTCTGGTCTTTATTTAGCATGAATGTGGGCGCTGATTAGAAATTGAAAATAAGTTGTAATTGTGAATAATAATAAATCATGGGAAATTGAAAAAATAATGTACTGTTGCAAAATTAATTTTTCAAGTTTCGCAAATTTCCTAATAGAAGATGTTTCGAGATCAGTGATAAATTTTTTTTCCATCTCTTCAAAAATAAAGTGTTGGAGATCATGATACATCTCAATTTTTTTCAAAATTTTAGTTTTTTAATATCCTTTCTATGTGTTTTTGAATTTCGGAATTTTCATATCTCTCAAAAAATTTAAAACCTAATTAATTCATTGATTGATTACCTGATATGTTGATGAGATAATTTGTTTAATTATTGAATACTTCTCTAATATTTTTGCTGCAAAAGTTCAAGTTTATAAATATTGAAAAATATTTATTAAAAGATGCTTTCATACTATTATGTTGTTGTTGCTGTTGTTTAGGGTGGAGTCTGATATTTTAGCGAGTTTATCGGATTCGGATCGTGCTGATGGAGAACGTTTGCGCCGACATTTGCAATTTTTTTTTATGGATCCAATGACAAAGTGGAAAATACGTCATCAGTTCCCATTCAAACTAGCTTTGCAGATTCTAAAAATAGCTTTTATTTCTATACAAGTAAGAGTTGTGGATACTTACATGTATTTTATGCAATTCTGATTAATCCGTACCTTTATTTTTTCATCTTGGACACTCTTTATACGTTTATGTTGATATCTACTTTTATGAGTATCTTACTTTTACTTAGACGATGTCTGAACTACGAGATGATAATTTATTTGCACTAAAGCTTGGTTGGAAAATTGCTCATGTCATGTCCTTTTGATCTCTTTCCTAAAATTTTCAGTTATTATTATTCACGGAGTTGCGCATCTCACATGTTGATTTTATGGATGATACTAATACAGTAATGCGCCACAAATTTTTAAAAAATTGGAATGATGAACGGGATACTCTCACTTATCCACCGTCATCTGGTTTGTATTCTGTTTACACCGGTGCTGATATTGTCGATCAATTTGCATACATAGTTGCTGGTGTAAGTTCTCTAATTTCAATTTGTTTATATTTTATTTTCAAAATAATACTTATTTGCATTGACAACATTTGGATATCTGTTAATAAATATCTTGTGTCTTCTACGATATGGAGTATTAGAGATTCAAAATGAAATGAGAAAGTGATTGGTAGAAGTGATCACATTATGTTTTTTCAATGTGGTTGTGAATGGTATCAAGCATCGCATTTCAGGATTTTCAATAGTGAAATTCTCGAACTGAATTTGTTTGGAAGTTCTTGTTATTACCGGTATCAGTATTACTTATCCTCAAAATATCAGCTGAAGCTAGTCTTTTTTTTTCAAAATTAGTTTTTCAGTATTATTCCATCCAAGAAGATTCATTTGGAAGTTTTTCGTATGACATTCCAAGGAATCAAGATTTTGGTGCTTTGCCTAGCCTTTCATTTGAGGATATACCGCCTATGAATTTTTGTCTCAAAAGAATTGCTAATGTCACAGTTTTCAACAATACATATGAATTCGATGTTTCTGAAATTAATGGTAAGAAACTGCTTTGGTAAAATCTGTATTTCTTTGTGATATTCGTCAGATTAAATGAATTTAAGCTCAACACTGTTTTGACATTTGTCGAGATGAAATTTGAATGACTGAATTAAGTCGATGAGGTAACTCGTGAGTAGATTTTAATTTTATGCATTAACTTTTGGTGTGTCTTTCCATCGTATATTCCTTTTTGTATTTGTGTAAGAGCTTGCTAATTTGTGTAGATACTCATCACATTTTATGGTACGGTCATTTAGTGGACTGAGAATCATGGGACTATGGCATAGTTTGCCTCTCTAATTTGCTTATTTTTTATGTTGCTTGATGAGTTGCTGATTTTTTCACTGCGATCATAACTATCTCGCATTTATGTGTTCATATTGTTTTCTATAATAATGTTTTTTGTTTATGTACTAGTCGTTCCTTGCAGTTGTCAAAACTGAAATATCTTCAATAAAAGGCATATTTGAAGTCATCTTCATCAGTAGTTCTTGAATTTGTAGTTTATCCTCTTTAGTAACTAGGGAGGTAATTTAAACTTTGAAATCGTTTGTTTGGTACACATGAAAGCCAATTAAGTACAAAGATTTTTATTTTTTTGCTCTTTTTTTGTTGGTTTATCTATTTTCAGATTGTGTGATATTGAAATTTGATGAAAACGAAGTGAAAGAAGTTCGTCGAAACTCAAGCTCATTAAGAAAATTTTTGGAAAAGCGCCATATAACGTTCAAACCAGAAGATGCTTTGGTCATATCCAAGGGTGTAATAAGCTTCAATTTGCGAACAATACATTTCACTCCAATTTCGATTGATAAGCGACCAGAATGTTTTTTAATTCAAGTATAAGAATTTTAATTTATTGCTCATTTTAGAGGTCGCAGAGAGGTTTCTGATATATCTGCGGTCAGTGATATTTATCTTGTACTGTAGCATAGTGTGAAATGTGGAGTGATAGCAATGTTTTATGAATCGCATTTGTAACGCATTTTATTGAATGAACGAATATGCACATAATTATTTTAAGTGATGGAAGTTTGAATATGAGTTTGATTTTTAGTCGAATTTTGACCTCTTTTTATTTTCTCAAACTATATATATATATATCAAGGTGTCAATTGCTTTCGATAATTCCCGTCATACTGGACAAGTACATATTTATTTAACAACGGTGATCAGCTACGTTACTTTATGCAATGGTCGAGTTTTGCATGGTATTGAATTTTCTATTTTGTCAACAGATGTTTTCTCATATTGCAAGAATGAAATCTACGTTATATCTGAGCTTCATTTTACATTTAGCAAAGAGAAACTGTTGTTGTAAAACCACGAGTTCCAGATAATAAAGAGTGAAATCAATGCTAGTGACTAGTACAGAAGTTTATATATTTTGAAGCCATTTCAGGAGGTGGTGTACTCATTGTGAGCGTGATCATTTTTGTAATTGATATTTTGGTTCTTCTCATGTGTATTGCTTCATTCATTTTGTGTTGTCGTGCTCTTGTTCGTGCTTATCTTCTTAAACTAGTTAGTTGTCTTCATTTCTAGTCTACTTAGCTATAAATATTGTTTTCATCATTTCTCAAGTTTATTTTTATTCTAATCATTTTTCGTCACTTCGAAGGAATGACCGTACACGTAATACAGGCAACAGTTACATTCGTTAAGAACGTATTAAAGCGTGAGTTGCAACTCAATGATCAGCTGGATTTTTTGAATTTATGGTATGTAATGATTGTTTTGAACGACATTTTCATCATATGTGGTACTTTGTGTAAAATCACTATTGAATTCAGAGTAAGTTATTGATTAATTTGGTTCAATTTCATTTTTAGCTATCAGAATGCCATTGAAATTGGTAGTTGTCTAAAACTCATATTTACTTGTTAGTCAGTTTAGAATTTTTTATGTTACTGGTCAACATTTATTTGATTGCAAATAACTTAGTTTCTGTGCAGTTTGAAAACCAGTTGTTAGAGTTAAAGAGATTTTTTAATAGAAATTAAATAGAATCTTTTAGCTCAAGTTGTACATAAAATTGGTAATCAAGAAGTCTTTATTAGGAAAGTTTTTTTTTTCTTCGTTAAACTGATGAAGCTATTTTATCGTGTGTGTTATAACGTATAGGTAGTGGAACAGCATTTTTAGCAATGATTTTACTTAGTATTTTTTTGTTTTGATCTGTCTGCTTTTAGGATTTCGATAGTGACTTGTTCACTACATCTGGTATATTGCTTGGTATCGGTGCCCTTATGGTTTACGTTGGTGTTCTGCGTTATTTTGGATTTTTTTCAAAATATAACGTTGGTTTTTTTTAAAAGCACTGATCATAAACATTATTTTACTGATTGCATCAGAATAAAGTGTTTTAGATACTAATTTTAACAATAAAGAAATCAGTACCTAATATCCTTCGCTTCATGTCATGCGGAGCTGTTCTTTATACTGGTTTTCTGATTGCTGGCTGGGTTATTATTGGACCATATAGCTTGAAGGTATATTTTTTAGGTTTTATATATGAGAAAGAAAAATGTAAATGTTAGTCTTATTTTTTGCTTTATTGAATCTGGCGCTGGATCGTATTCCGACACTACGGTTGTATTTATCCTGCGCTCAAATTTGTTCTGGTGATCGTTTTCGCTTCTCCCTCGTGAAATCCATAACGATTGTTGAAGGAGATGCTTTCGAAAAGAACTATCGATTGACTATATATTTTGAATACATACGTGATCAGATATACTGATCTCCTTTGCATAGCGTTTGTTGAAGTTCGTTACAATCCCATCCCAAGTCATTACATACGGAATTATTTTGGCCCTGCATCTCATCTCTGCCCCAAATAAATCATCCATTTGCTTGTTGTCGGTCTCAGCTGTTATTAACCTGTCTTGACTAGTCATGCCAACCTCAGTCAGGATTACTTCATGTCGCTTCTTATCGTTTATCATGATATCTGGTCGATCCGCCTTTATTCTGATTGCAGTTCTCACTCGCGTATCGATCTCAAAATTCTTATTCGCGACGACCTCCTGAACAGAATGGCTTTGTAAGCGCGGGAATGCTTTCAGACCGTACTTCTTACGGAGTCCCAAGTGGATGCATCGTAGGACCTCACTGTGTCTTCTAGTATAGTCGTGATGCAACATTTTTTCGCAATGTTGCTAGATGGTCCACCGTCTTCACACGTTCCCCACAATTTTGGCACATACCTTTCTCACCTCCAAACATATTTTTGTCTTGGAGATGATAGTATCTTACCTCATCTTGTGGGGTAATGTTTCCGTGTCGCAGCCATTTTGATGCATCATCTATAAACGAGATTTTATTCGTCCGCATCTTTTATAGTTTTGCATGGTGAGTTTTATTTTCTATTTCGCTATACATGAACGCCTTCTGGGCTGCTAAAACGTTTG